CTGTCAAAAAAAATTGCTCAGGACACGTACGACCCTCTATCCCCTATCTACCACCCTCGCTGGAGATCCTCAGCGTAGATGTCGTGATTGTCGTACCCATCGCCAGCTGCAGTAACCCAGTAAAGGTGCCGTCGATTGCCGCCTAGGGACCGCAGTCGCAGAGAAAATAAGAAAGTAGGTGGCAGAGTTGCAGATTTCTTGCGGCTGGCGGACTTGTAAGAAAGGTATGCTTCGCCTTGCATGGATGTATACAAAGTCTCCATACAAGCACTGCGCCCTGGTAGTTGATAGCTCGGTCGGCTAGCTTCAGTAACCTCATGATGGTGTCGTGAACTTTGGCGTAATGTTGCAATAAGCACCATATGAGCGAAATTGAAGTGCACCGGGAATCGCCAACCAAGAGCCTCTAATTGGGGGGGGAACTCCCTCCTATGTTTATTACAGCATTTAGGCGCCTTTCGCGTTGCGAGAGGCGCGCTTTAGTTGACGCCTTAGTAGTTACTAAGTTCATGCGAGGAACGACAACATTCAGGTGGAATAGTACACCGTACCTTCAGAAATGAAAAAGTTCACGAGGTTTTCTGATTTTTAATGATGTGCGCTGCTGGGAAGCAAAGGGGAACATTTGTGCTAAAAATTATCCGTTTACGTTCGAAAAGGTCCAAAAAACCTCTGTTATAGATCGCTGATAAGGTAGTCGAATTGATCAAAGGGTGGTGAGGTGAGAACAGAACGACGGCGTGCTATGGAGTGGTCTTATCCGAGTCCTGACGTTGTATAGTGAAGAAATAGGTTCAATAGTTTTTGGAAACTGAATGCAGCTTGTAAACAGAGCAGGCCAAGCGATTTGTCGCTTCATGCGCGTAATGTTTACACCTTGAAGGAGGATGTTTTCGTGCTCATCAGTGTGAGGAGTGGAGAATCCCTCAGTTTCGCATCTTGTGGGAACAGTGGTGCTGCCGTTTTATGACTCAACTAATTGCAGACCCGTAGTCGGTTCCCTTTAGGAATATTACGGTCGAGTAGGACATTGCGGCAGATTTGACTTGGTGGGGCATCTTGCTGGTGTCCATAGTCCACTGCCGATGCCTCGTGTGGGCACCTGCGAATCCCTCTGATGCTGTGCAAAATAGGAGCTTCATTTACATTTCACAGGCGCCTATAGGAATCACTAAGATGGAAGTGTAATTTGAT